CCCACAGAGCAGCACCAGCAGCACGCGCAGACGGTCCCCACCTCCAGCGACTCCTGTCACGTTTCCCTGCGAGTGGCACTGAGGAACAGCCCCGACCTCCCCCCGGATCAGAGGGGTGGCCCCAAAATCCCACCGGACCTGCTCCTTCCCGGCCGAGCAGCCCAGGTCTGAAAGTGAAAGCAGCTCCCTGCCCTGCGTGAGGAAGCTCCCGAGCAGTTCCAACCTATCACTGCAGCAGTTTCAATATTCCTAACAGTTTGCCTAAAGGTGTGCTGTCAGCCCAGGCACTGAAGGGCAGCTCCGGTCTGGAATTCCTGTGGAATTAATCATGCCTAGAGGTTATGGAGCGTGAATTATCAACTTATAACAGCTTGAGTTTTTTAGACATTCCTGAGACCAGCCTTGCAGCAGAGAAATTCCAACTGGAAACACACAAAGAACTGCTCTGCAATAACCAGGATGGACAGAGCTGGGGGTGAGGGCTCAGATCACGGACATCTGCGATCAGGAGTGGTGAAAACAGCTCAGTAAATGCAACCAGCACTTCCTCCTGTTGTGTTCCAGCCTTTGTTGGTGTATTTTAAATGCTCTCTGTTAAAGGAAGGCAGCCAGGAACCCACAGGCAGGCCCGGAGCTGCCGGAGCTAAACCTGCCCATCGTGAATTACCACGCACTGAGAACAACAAAAACATCTCAGAAACATGATCCAGTCCCTCCTCCTGCTCATGGATCAGCTCCTCCCGTCCTGACGACCCCCACGGAGCAGAGGGAGAGCCCCAGGCCCAGCGGAGCCAGCGACTCGGGCACCCCCCGGAGCTGCAGCTGGAGGGAATTGTGCAGGACACAACCTGAATGAAACAGCCCAAAGAAATGGGAACTCAACACTTCAGAGCTCTGAACAGTCATTCTACATCTCAAGCACCCAGGCATCTCCAGGTTCCTCTTTCGTGCTTCTCCTTGCCACGCTTTTGGCAAGTTTAGACCAAACAGGCAGGCAGGGACAGGAGTCAGTCCTGTCACCAGTGCAAAGGACAACATCAGACTGGAAGACACTGGTTATGGGTGATGAAAACTGAATCACTCCAGGGCATCCTAAGCCAGCAGTAGGAGCCACCCTGATCTCCTGAATGCTCTGGGCATGGAAAAGGCTCCTGGGACACTGGCACTGCAGCCTCACAGCTGGTGTGTGTGGGCACGGCACTGCCAGGTCCCCAATTCTTTACACTTTCACCCTTGTTTCGATCCCGAGGGACACTCGGGAGGAACGCTCTGCGCTGCACCTGAGCAGGTCCCGACGTTCCGCTTCACACGCAGCCACTCGCGGTGGAAAAACCACTCCAGGACATCAAAGCCAACTTCCCCCGTGGATCACGGAAAACACACTGCTTCCAACCCAACCAGCCTCCAGGCAGGCTCGGCGTGCACCTGCTCTGGGAGAGGGCTGCGTGTTCACCTGGATCACACCTACACACGTGTGTGTGCGGAGCTCCATCCTGTTACTAAAACAGACTCAAGGGTTTCGGAGTTTTAAGCTGGGGAGCCGTAAACCCCCCCCCTGGATTTAGGCCTGGGGAAGCTTTTTCCCCGAGACTCTCACGGGGGGACGAGCCGCAGCGTGAGAAAATTCTCTCCTGTGTGCAGAACAGCACTGTTTCAGCAACACTCATTCGGGTTTGCAGGATACAAGCCTTATTTTAGGGAAAAACGAGGTCCCAACAAACAAGGAACAGCCCCCCAAACCCACCCAAAACCCATCGTGGGGGGGTACGAGGCTCGCCGGAGGGCCACGCTCGGGGCTGAGGGGACCGGGGGGCGGACGGGCCCCCCCGTTCGGGGGGGCCCGTCCCCCCCCGGCCCCCTCAGCCCCCCTCAGCCCCCGAGAAGGCCCCGCTCGTGGAAGGACCGGGAGTGGGGGGGAAGGACCCGCGTGGGGGTGCGGGCGGTCCTTACCTGTGTGCGGGGGTCCTGCGGGGGCTCAGGAGGGATGAGGGGATGGGATGGGGATGGGGAAGGGGAGTTCAGGCTCCCGCCCCGCCGCCGCCGCCGCCTCCCGGCGCCATGTCCGGCACACGGAACTTCCGGGAGGAAGGGGCGGCGAGAGAGACCGGGAACCGGGAACGGCGCACGGAGGGAGGGAGGGAGGGGATGGTACTGGGGATGGGGTGTTGGGGGAGACAGGGAATGGGAACGGGACTGGGAACGGCACCGGGAGCGGGGCGTTGGGGGAGACCGGGAATGGCACCGGGAGCAGGGGGAGACTGGGAA